CCTGTTGTACGCGCCCCTCACGCCGCCGGGCGCGTGGGTCCCGTGTGAAGCGAGGAGGCGAGCGGCGGGGGCGACGTGGCGCGGCGGGGGGCGGGCCGCTGCCCGGTCGGGGAAGCGGGGCGGGGGATGGGGACGGGGAAGGGCAGCGGCAGGGCGCACCAGCGCGGGGTGTGCCATGTGGGTGGCGGGGGGGCGGGGCGGGGCGGGCGCTGGGCCGGAGGCGGGGAGATCAATACGGCTCCAGCCCGTTGCAAGGCGCCTCCCCATGATCGGCGGGTTGGCTCGGCTCGGCCGGCTCGGCGGGCCAGTGCGCTCGTGCGCCTCCAGCGAGGCAGGTGCAGTCAGGGGCGGAGGGAGCCGTGAAAATGGGCTGGCTCGTCGAGGGGCGTAGGTCGCGGCCGGGAGTGCACGGCGGGCGGAGGACCGCCGCGGGAGGCTCGGAGTGGGCGCGAGACGCGAAGGTGGGCGGGCGGCGGGCGGCCGCAAGTGCATGAGGAAACAAGGCGACGGGGGAAATAGTAGAAACAGTATATCGAATCGCTCTCAGATAAACTGCGTTGGGGGGATAAAGACGTCGGCGAGGAAAAAGCGGAGGGTCATTTGACGGTGAAAGGCAGTGGGTACATTGCAAAAAAACAAGGGAACGTGAAGATATAGCTTGCGAGATCGTCGCGCGATATTAAACGAACCGAAAAAAAGCGAAGCTGATCGAGCACGCGTAGGCTCACTCGGGCGAAGCTCGCAGAAGCCGCGGGGGCCCCGAGTCGCAAGCGGGCGCGAGGCAGAGACGCCGGGGGCGGCTGCTGGGGGTCTGGGCGAGGCGCGAGGGCGCGCGCAAGGCAACGCAACGAAGCGGGCGCCACCATGGAGGGAACTCCTCGCTTTCCAGACTACATCGAGAGGAAGATGGCCCCCGGGGCGACGTGCGGAGGCGGCGGAGGCGGCGGCGGGGGCGGCGTGGAGGCGCGGGCGCGCCGGCCCGCGCGCAAGGCCGCTCCGGGGCTGTACGGGCGCGCGCGCCGCTGGCTGGCCGAGAACCTGCTGCTGCTGGCGACGGTGGCCGGCGTGGTGGTCGGCGTGCTGCTCGGTGAGTGGTTGGGGAAGCTCCCCGTTACTCTGAAGAAGTTATTTTTTTGTCTGTAGATCGATTACAAATTAGTTTAGAAGGGATATGATATAGATTTTATGTTATAAGTTAGCATCCGAATCTGGCTTATTCGCAAATTAGCCTCAATGAACACGTCCCGCTGCAAATGACCGGATTTTGGGACAATGAACACTTCTCAGAATGTAAGATTTGAACAGAATACAGGTCACACCATGGAAAGTCACATACAGTCTTTGACTTTTTTGGCGTTAAATAAAAATTCCAAAAAGGGGGGATGAAGTCCAAAGTAAAAATAGCTTCAAAGTATACTTCGGACCTTAGTCGGAAGACGTGCACATTAACCATCACAAGGTGGTGGCTAGGGTAAGTGAAGTACGTTACGGATAGAGGAAATGATAAATATTGCATGTTAAACAGGGATTAAGCTGTTGGTGTGAAGTTTGTAAGGCTAGTTGAGACAAGTGAAGTTTCACTATTAAATATGTCAATAGTACATTTCTTTTTACACGGTACATTCAAACGGCGATATGTCAAAATTCGCCTGCACGTGCTACTTGCCCCCCCCCTCCTCCGCCCCTGAAAAGCCGGCGTTTCGGCGAGCACTGCCGCAACTTCCTCTGATTCCACTCGAATTTCCTCTCCAACCAAGGGTTGTTTTCAGAAAGGGATGTATACGCGCAGGCTGTAGTGCGGAAGGTAAGCATAAAGCGCGTTTGAAATTTCACGACGAATTGATGCTTCACCCAAAAACCTGTTTATTGCAAATATTTATTGAATGCTGTTTATAAACTCTATTAGCTATTACTTTATTCTGTGTTTATTTTCTTTCAAAAGTGTGTCCAGTAAAATCATTTTGGCTAAGGGCATGTTTGAATTGTCTGTTTTCGTTTTGTTCTATATTTTATTAAATTATTCTGTTTTTTTTGTATGTAGCAATAATGTGAAGTACATTAAAAAGTATCTATTTAAGCTTTGCTTTGGTAAAACCCCTCTCAGATTAATTATATCTTTCTTACGTGCGCACGCAAGCATCTGTGAAGAAACAAACATCTTTGTTCCTAACTTGAACGAAGGAACTTACTGCAATCATTGCTCTCTTAAGTGAACACTCTTACGAAATCGAAATACTTTGATTTCAAAATGTTTAAATTTACGATCAATTGATAAGTTAAAATATTACTGATGGTATAAATCATTTCCTCGGATAATTTCTTTGCTCTCGTAGTGTAAATGGTAACGATATCGATAAGTTTGGGGCAATAACTGTCCACTGACTTCTCCAGAAGACCGTCATGGAACAGTATCCTGCGACGTACCGCCATCTCTGAGAAATTTGTACAATTCTGACTTTTAAATCTTGCGGCAATTGTTCTAAACGGTACTTTGCCCGCGACCTTGATATGCCTGATCTAACGTAACCTAACCTCGCTTATGTCTGTTGACGCTTTGCTAAGCATATCCGAAATTGGGCGATGAGGCTTCGACCTCCGACCCTCGAATATACATACTCGATGAGACTCTACAACGCAGGCTTTGCAACGCATTTTAGGACAGAATACTTCTCGCGAACACAGGGGACGCCTCACACTTGAACAATCGCTTCACTTCAGCCAGCTCCTTGTGGCTAATACCAACCTTCGCCAAATGTCCGAAATGATAATTTTGTCGTTCATACACCTTTATCCAAAGTGTCTCGCTAATGTGTGAATTGGTCAGTAATTTTCGAATTTTCCATATTTCGGAATTTACTCAAACATGTATGATTGTATTTGAGAACAAAAATGTAACTCCCCAAAATGTTGAACTAGTGTTGATTTCAGCAGATAGATAATGAAGCATGTACCAAGAGCAAGCGTGTTATTTTGTGGTTACATCCACATAAGTATTGTTTTTCATTCGTTACATATCACAATGTGACTGACTTTTTCGAAAATATTGGACAACTGTGAGAAACGTGGATTAGTGCAGAAGGTACGTGGTTATTTAAAGTCCTTGGAGAAAAAAAATACACGTCACATACGTGAGACATTTTCGTGCTCGAAAAACTCCGTTCATAGTTTAGGTGCATACATTATTTTTTGCAGAGTCAAATTTGAGTTAAATTTACATAGGCTGCAAATCATTTCTTTCTGAAGAGAGCCTCGTATCATCAGACTTTTGCGTACCGGAACAAAAAGAGGGCAATGAAGTTGCCTACATTTCCATTGGTGGCGCAATCACAGTAGGTTGAACAGGCGTTCTTTCAGTACGCAGAGTTAGTAATAATTCGTTTCATCTACATCGTAGTATGTGTGCTTCAACATTACATGCTTACTTTTGCGGTAAACACAGATACATGTCTCGCCCTGGTTTCCATAAGTGAAGCTTCGATAAAGGATTCTTGAAATTCCAACTTCAGAGGCGAGTGCAAGTAAATTGGCACTAAATGCTTGGAGATAACTGAAAACGTTAAACGAGTGAAAAGCAGCTTTTAACTCAATTATAAAATTACGAAGTGAGTATTTACTCTATCGGTCTGTTTTGTTGGATCATTCGTTTAGTTAAACACTGTGTTGCTCCTCAGTTGCGTGAACAGTTATCTGAAATATTGGGTATTGTTATTTTTCGTTAGATATACGGGATCCTGTTTAGTGATTAAGCAAGAATCACCTTATGTGAATTTTTGTAAAGATTATTTTATTATATAGTTTCATAAGTTCATACATGTACACCATTATTGTCTTATTCCCAAAATATATTACATTTTTACATCATTTGAATCTTGTCTTGGGAAGATTTCAGCTACATGATGCTAGGGTGGGTAAGCAGGAATTAGATAGCAGGACTATAAATTAACAAAAGTTACCTCGAATCGACTATAAATCAGCGAAATTTTTAAATTCTGTATTAAACTGCTCTGAATGCTGCTCTGGTCAGTAGATGGAGGAATTTTCACTCCTGTTGACTGTTTATCTACGAGCAACACAAGTGCATCTATTACATGTACGAGTAATATTTCGGCAAACAAACCGAGAGGCAACGGGAATGGTATGTAAGGCAAGAAGTAATCAGATTTACACATTGTATTACATTTTCTTAAGCAGCCGAAATTTGATATAGAACAATGAAATGAAGTCTGGAGGAGTTTTTATCGAAAAGATGTCCTAAATGACTCTTTTTTGCAGTTGTTTATAATACGAATTTTTTAATTCATTTATTTATTCATTAATTAAACCAATAATAAATAATGTTGAATATTTAAAAAAAAATAGTGTAAAATCACCATGATGAATGTAAGCTATACTTTAAAAAAATCCTTGCAGACATTCTTTTCTTTGTACTGCAACTATGTATAAATTTGATAATTTTACGTGGAATAGTTTTTTAGCAAATGGTACATTTACCATATAAAAATAAAGTTTGGAGAAATTGCTTGCAAACGTTCAAACGTCGTTTCTGGTACCTTACATTCATCAAAACTTTTCTTTTTCTTTAACCGTTATTCCCTAAACATTATTCCCAAAACCTCTTAATTTCACAGACCTATATCAAATGAAGACCTTAATGACTTTTTAAAGATCTTCCCGCAATCCGATTGAGGCAAAACTATGGGAGAAGGTACGAAAAACTACAATGAATAATATGGGAATGAAAACCAGAAATCAATTTTTTGGCCATATTACCCCTACATCCCCCTTTAAGCGCCGCACGGCGTCACCGCCTCGGCTCGTATGACGCGCGGGTTTTCCACTGAGGCGTGGGCGCGAGGGCGGGGGCGCGAAGGCGGGGGAGAGAGAGAGAGAGCGAGCCAACCGCAGGCTGCTGGCGGCGGCGGCGGGTGCCACGTGCTCCGAGGCGTAGGCGGGCGGTTTCTTCACCCTGTCACATGCGAAAAGAAACAAGACGACACACAGCGCGCCCATCTCTTTCGCGGAAGAGAGCGACTGAAACACGTCGCCCTCTTAAACCTGCAACCCAGTCAAATGTTAAGTACGTTTTGACTTCGAAAATATTTGCAATGATATACTTGGAAGCGGACACATGCGGGTGGAGGAATTAGGAAAATTCTCTTCTGAAATTGATGCATTGTTATAAAAGTCGTTCGTTCTCTGCTGCGAATATTATAATGATATTGATTTTCGTGAAGTATTGCGAAACGATTTTTTCCCTTCCTGTCAGATCCCGTGAGGCGTAAGGGATCCGCCAGGAAGGAAATAAATCATTCATCATCAATCATAAGGCTTATGCGGTAAATTATGAGATCTCTGATTAATTTCTAACTAGATACGAACTTACGAGTGACAATCTGAATTATACCATACAATAGTTTACCGTTGTCTTCCAAACACAATCGGGTGATGTACACGCATCCCTTAGACTGGATTTGCGCCACTGATTTTTGGTTACGACCTATTGCAGGCAGTTCAATAATGACAAAAAATAATTTTCCTTTCCATTCGCTTGACAATATAGCGACGTTATGCACATATTTATAATATTAATATTACTAATGAAAAGGAGTCTAATGGTTCTCCAGGTTTTCCTTTCTTTACTTTTTAACAAAATGGCAATTTGATTCGACGATTGTAACACAATCCGCTTCTTGGCAGGTGTCATCTTTCCCCCTTTACTTGATGCATCATCCATGTACATACGCGCAGACTTTTACCCTGAATCACTCTTGGCCGGACATAGAAATTCAGCGTAACTCACCTGGCTTTCCGATGCGAGGGTGCTGTTCCTTCAATTTCTTTTCGGATTCTCGTCAACTTAACGCACATTTAGGTTGTACTTACTTGGGTTACTATTCTTCTGAAGCTATATTAACACGTATTTTTACAGTAATGTTTTAAAAACAAACTTTTATTTATTCGGACAAACGTAATATTTTTGTCTTCATAATGTCAATGACCGAACATCCTTGAGCTTTATTAGTTTCATCTTGTTGTGGCACCAATGAGTGAATGATTTGCATAACAGATTACATACGCATTAATTTG